AGACATAAAGGGAGAAATTGACAGTAATACAATACTGGTAGGGGACTTTAACACACCAATACATCAATGGATAGAGAACACCCAGACTGAAAATCAATAGAGAAAACAGTGGCTTTGAATGACATATTAGATCAGATGGACTTAACAGATATATAGAGAACATTTCATCCTAAAACAGCAGAATACACATTCTTTGCAAGTACACATGGAATATTCTCCGGGATAGATCAGAGGTTAGGCCACAAAACAAGTCTCAATAAATTCAAAAAGTTTGAAATCATATGCATTTTTTCCCCCACTACAATGGTATGGAACTAGAAATTAATTAGAAGAAAAAAAAAGCTGGAGAAAAACCCCACAAACACATAGAGGTTAAACAGCATGTCATTAAACAACCAATGGGTCAACAAAGAAATCAAAGAGGAAATAAAAAAATACCTGCAGACAAATGAAAATGGACACACATCAGTTCAAAATCTTTGGGAGGCAGCAAAAACACTTCTAAGAGGGCAGTCTATAGCAATTTAGGCCTCCTTCAAGAAACAAGAAAAATCTCAAACAATCTAACCTTATACCTAAAAGAGCTAGAAAAAGAACAAAGCCCAAAGTTATAGAAGGAAGGAACTAATAAAGATTAGAATGGAAATAAATGATTAGAGACTAAAAAAAAAATCAATGAAACTAAGATTTGGTTCTTTAAAAAGATAAACAAATTGATAGACCTTTATCCAGACTCAAGCAGGAAAGAGGACTCAAATATACTCAGAGATGAAAGAGAAGTTATAACCAACACCACAGAAGTACCAAGGCCTGTAAGAGACTACCGTGAAAAATTATATGCTACAAAATTGTACAACCTAGAAGAAATGGATACATTCCTAGAAACTTGCAAACTTCCAAGACTGAATCAGGAACAAACAGAAAGTCTGAAAAAAACAATTACTCATACCAATATTGAATCAATAATCAAAAAACTTCCAACAAAAAAAGTCCTAGACCAGAAGGCTTCACAGGTGAATTCTACCAAACATTTAAAGAAGAATTAATATACCATACTCATGGATTGGAAGAATTAATATTGTTTATATGTCCATACTACAAAGCAATCTACAGATTCAATGCAGTCCTTATTAGAATACCAAGGATATCTTCACAGAACTAAAATTTGTATGAAACAACAAAAGACTTCCAAAGCAATCTTGAGAAAGAAGAACAAAGCTGGAGGTATCACAATCCTAGTTTTCAAACAGTATTACAAAGCTATATTAATCAAAACAGAATGGTACTGGTACAAAAATAGACATGTGGATCAATGGAACTGAAGAGAGAGCCTAGCAATAAACCCACAC